CGGAGCCGCAGGCCCCGGGCGACGGAGCCACCTTCACCATCACCTGCCGGGGGACCCCGCCCCCCGGGCCCGGGTCTCCCCCCACCCCCGTCCCCCCGCGTCCCCGGCTCGGGTGGGTGGGAGGAGCGGGACGTCGGGTGCCCGGCCCCTCGGGTGGCTTCTGCGTGGGCGTTGGGGCTGCGTCACTTTGAGGACAGCCCAGGCCAGGCGCTGCGGTGGCTCCGGGCGCCGCTCGCCTGCTCTCTCGCCTGCTCGCCCGCTGGCCCGGTTGGTGGAATTGCGAAGTGGGAGGTTAACAGCCCGGACAGGGCGTGGGTTTTTGTTTTTTGTTTTTGTTTTTGTTTTTTTCCCCCCATCGCGATTCGCACGATTTGCAGTTCCCCCAGGTGAGGGACCCAACGCCAGCAGCGCCCCCAGCGCACCCCTAAGGTGACGCCCCCCCCCAGGACAGCTGGAGCCTCCCTCTGGGGAGTGGCTTGCTTTCGGTCCCTCCCCGGTTTTCTCAACAGTGATCCCGAGCACCCCGATTCTGTTGGGTTGCCTGTCACCCTTCAGTGCTGTTTCTCCGCCTCTCTTCTACGTGTAAAAGGGTTGAAAGGACTTTGTCGGGTCACCACCCATTCTTTCCCCAAGGTTCTGTGTACAGTGTGACATCTCTTCTTCCTGTCTTCGGCCCTTCTCCTTTCCGTGTGTGCGTGGATTGAAGTCAGCCTTGAGCGTGCTAGGCAACGCCCTGCTGCTGAGCTAAGTCCCAGTCCTTTTAAAACTTTGAGACAGGCTCTCACTGAGTTGTTTAGCCTTGAATTCAACTCATGCTGTAGCCAACTCAGACTCACAGCGCTTTAGCCTCCTTAAGTAGCTGGTACTATTACAGGCTTGGACCACTAGCCAAAGGCCTTGCCTTTTATTTTTAAGATTAAATATATCCTGTACGTATTGCGTATTGAGCATATCCTCCTTTATATTCCCCCACTTTTCCCTTTTCTCACTTTATATTGTGAGTCTTTTTTTTTTTTTTCTTTAGTGACTTTTGAAGGCCAAGAGTTTGTGTGTGCCACAAATACTTTTATGTTGCAGGGTGCATAATGTTTCCTGTAAATATTTCATAAAATACTGGATGAGTCTTACTGTCTCAAATGAGTTTTCTAATGCATTCAGGAAAGAGAGTCAGGAAGATCTCTATGAGTTCAAGGGAGCTTGGTCTACATACTGATTTCCAGGTTAGCCTGGGCTACAAAGTGAGACCTTGTCTCAAAAAATAATCCCTCTAAATAATAATAAAATGACTTTTCCATAGTAGCTGTTATTAGAAAAACAAATCAGCAACAAAATGTATTTTGTCCTGTGTGGCCATCAGAATCTCTTGTGGTAGTTTTGTGGGTTAGTGGGAGTGCACCAAAGGCACTTGTACTGCGTGTCCTGCATGTCCTGCATGTCCTGCGTGTCTGATGAGTGTATCTTCTGCCTCCTGACAGTACTCGGGACCTGAGAACATCACTTAGTACTTTGCTGTTGAATAATGTGTTTCATCGGAAGCAAAAGTGTCCACCTGTGCATCCAGGGAGATATTTTGCTATTTGATTAGGCATATAGCTTTCAAAAGGCAAGGTTAAATGTCCTATGGCCCTAATTTAAAAGATGACATTAAGTACGTTTTTGTTTTTATTCTCTTGTAGGTGGCTTTTTCTCAAGTATTTTTTCCAGTCTCTTTGGGACCAGGGAAATGAGGATTTTAATTTTGGGATTAGATGGTGCTGGGAAAACAACAATTTTGTACAGATTACAGGTTGGAGAAGTTGTTACTACTATTCCCAGTAAGTATTGGTTTGATAACTCATAGAACTTTTCTGATTTCTGTCTAATACAATTTTCTGAATAAATTAGTCATATGATAGGTTGATAGGGGTTTGTAAACTTTTTGGAAAAAATGATACTGACAAAAATTTTTTTTAAATGGAGTAAGAAGCGTTTTAATGTACTTGGTTCCTATCCAGGCAGGCAAACAGATGTCTGTTTAGAGCTATAGTTGGCTTAAGTCACTAAATCTTTATGCTTAATGAGGATACTAAATCTCTACTGGCTTTGTCCAGTAAGTAAATGAAGTGTACAAGGTGCTTTGCTAATGGTTTAATGAATATAGAGATGTTACATTGGTGGTGTTGTATACAAAGTACATTTTTCTGCATGTTTTTGTTACTTGAATTACAGTGTAGTTTCTCCTGAGTAATTCTGTAGATCACTTTTAAAGATGGGAATTGTAGAGGCTGAGTGTTGAAATGACCAGGTTACCTGAGAACTAAGAAGAAACACCCGAACTTTAACTCTGTTCATAGCCTTGTTATTCTTGCTGTCTTAGAAAATTATTTTCACGTAGTCCTATCTTACTACATAGGGATGCTCTTGAGGTTTATACTTTTTCCGTTGTTGAACTAAATGTATAGAGTAATACATTTAAATTAAATTGAAGAATCGATGTAATTTGCTCAAGATTTTACACTGTGTTCTGAATGACTTGTCATTTTGTCACTAACCCTTCCAGGATTTTTTGTTTTGCTTTTATGGAAGAAGGTTTGGGTTCTGTAGCATTTGTTATTTCATTTCCTTTGACCCTCACTTCTCAGACTCTCCCCTCTCGGTCTGGGTAGCTTTTGGTGACGTCGCTTTGCAATCCCAGTCCACACAGTGGGTGGACGGCAGTGTGGGCTGCTGTCACCCCTGCCCTTTGCACATGAACGCTGCTCTTGATGGTGAAGAACAGAGCTGCGTCTGTCCAGTTCTGAAGGAGAAGGAACTTGGTTTTCAGTGTGTTACGATTGCTGTGGTTTTATTTTTCCATTGTAATGTGCATACTTGCCCACCAAATACATCATCTACCAACACAACGTTAATAGGGAACAAAAATCAGTGGTTACTGGAAGTCATTTTTCACTCTGACTTTTTTTTTTAAAACTTAGGAAATGTGAGCAAACTTTGTACATGTCCACGCCAAGTGTTTTCAGCATCATTTTCTCCCTTGTTTAGACTCCTTTCTCTGAAATTAGTATCTGGTCTCAGCCGTGTGGTGCCAGAGCTACACCTAGGAAGAATGGTGGACAGAAGGGGTGAGATATAGACCATGCCAGCTGTGACCTTGTTACAAGTGAGCTGGTGAGATGTCTTCAGAGGGTCTGTAAGGTTGACACCCACAGAGAATGTGGCTCCCACAAAGTCGTTGTTTTATCTTCACTGAATTTTAGTTTTTAATTATAAGTCTGTCATTATAATTTTAGTTTTTACTATCTACCAGAACTTCAGCTCTTATATCTATAACTATACTTTTCAAATAAAACTTTCTGAAGATGCTGGGCAGTGGTGGCACATGCCTTTAATCCCAGCACTTGGGAGGCAGAGGCAGGTGAATTCCTGTGAGTTTGAGGCCATCCTGGTCTAAAGAGTGAGTTTGAGGATAGCCAGAGCTGTTACATACAGAAACCCTGTCTCAAATAAACAAACAAACAAGCAAAAGCCTTTCTGAACACTTGTATGCTAGTACTCAGGGAAGTTTAATAGACCTTTAGGACTGGGGAAATTGCTCAGTAGGTAAAATGCTAAGGACAAGAGTTCAGTCCCTAGGGCTTATATAAAAACAGACTGCATGTGGTGGATGCCCAGGGCTTGATGGCCAGCCAACCAGCCCAGCCTACTTGGCCAGCAAGAGACACTTGTCTCAGAAAAAAAAAAAGGTGGGCAGTGACTGAGGAACACACAGTGTTGTCTTTGTCCTCTGGCTTACACACTCTCACACACATGGGTGCCGGCAATTGTGTTAATAACATGCACAGAGTGGTCACGAGGTTTTTTTGTAACCTGAAGGTGGTCCTGATCTTGTTAAGTGTGTGTGTGTGTGTGTGTGTGTGTGTGTGTGTGTGTATCATAGTATATTGTCTTAAATGTTATAATAACCCAGCCCAAAATGTTTGAAAATTAACAGCAGTTGCTAAAACTCCGGGAGAGTGTGTTAGTCTACATCTACTATTGATTTGATTTCTCTTTCAGCTATTGGATTTAATGTAGAGACGGTGACATACAAAAACCTCAAATTCCAAGTCTGGGACTTAGGAGGACAGACAAGTATCAGGTATGCTGTAAACACCAGGTCATTTGGTTGTGCTTGACATTTACTGGCTCTTTTTAGTGCTGGCAATACTAAACCAAAATACTAAATCTCTGTTGCAGATTAGATAGGGGTGCGGTTGTTTAAATGAGGTGGGATTTGAAACTAGGAATTTCCTGAGAGCATCCAGTAATTAAGATCTAAGGAACTCAGTTTTTCAGATAATCACTTAAGTGAAAATCCTCTCATGAGAACCTGAAAGGCTCAGAAACCGGCCCCTGGTTTACGTTTTGTCTTGACCCTCCGAGATGTTTGGCACCCATACAAAGCCATGCAGCGGTGACATGAATAGAGATGACCCGTGAAATTCAGTGCTCGGCAACTGGACTGTGCGTGACTGACTGCCAGTGGCTTAGGGGACCAGCTCAGAGCAGTAGTAAGGTTGCTGTTGAAAGATTGATAGTGTGGTGGTGCACACCTTTAATCCCAGCATCAGAGTCAGAGGCAGGAGGATCTCTGTGAGTTGGAGGCTATCCTGGTCTACTATCTAGTTCCAGGCCAGCCAGATATACATAGTGAGACTGTCTCATAAAAGACAAAAGAAATATATATATATCAGTAATATATTCACTAAATATTCTCCCATTCAGTAACTCACTTAAGTCACTTTTGAGATTACTTCTTATTGTAGCCAATTCTACTTCTGATTGTCATCAGTGATTAAGAACATATAAAGTCACATTAAAAATTCCAAGCAGTGGTGGCTTATGCCTTTAATCCCTGAACTCGGAAGGCAAAGGCAAGAGGATCTGAGTTCGAGGCCAGCCTGGTCTACACAGAGAAACCTGTGTCGAGGGGAAAAGGCAAACAAACAAAAGACATCCTTTTCTTGTAAGGGTTCCTGGTTAAAGACTTGTAAGTTTCAGTTATCAGGTCTGTGTACAGTTTTCCTATCGGTGTATTTAGTGTTCTTTGTGGATTATATTTCTACCTTCTCAGCCTGAAATTCAAACTTACTTTGAAACTGTAATTTGGGGCCTATAATTTAATATTTATCACTCTTCTTTCAACCTAGTCATACCAAGTGTGATGCAAGATGCGTTTCTATCAGAAACAGCAAATCATAAGGCATTGTTCTGCACAGAGCGGAGCAGAGCTGGCATGTAATCACCATCTCCCTGTCCTTGACCCAAGTCCAACTTGGAAATTGACATGTCAGGTTTTTTCTCGGGATAACATGTTTTCCATTCTTGGACTTTCTTTAGGCCGTACTGGAGATGTTACTATTCAAACACAGATGCCGTCATCTATGTAGTTGACAGTTGTGACCGAGACCGAATTGGCATTTCCAAGTCAGAGTTAGTTGCCATGTTGGAGGTAAGCAAACATTTAAATACTAACATTAAACATTAAAATGAGGAACTGGAGGAATCAATTTGTTTACTTTTTCCTATGTATATTATCACGTGAAATAATGGAAAAACATGCAAGGATAGTTTTCCTCTATTCTTTTCCTATCTGTTTTATTTCTTTATTTGTATGAATGTTTTGTGAGCCACCATGTGGGTGCTGGGAATTGAACTCAGGACCTCTGGAAGAGCAGTCAGTGCTCTTAACCTCTGAGCCATCTCTCCAGCCCTGTATGAATGTTTTGTTTGCATCATTTGTGAATACTGTGTGCATGCTTGGTGTGTATGGAGGTCAGAAGAGATTATCAGATTCCCTGGGAGTGGAGGTATAGATGATTGAGCCAATATGTGGGTGCTAGGAATTGAACCTGGGTCCTCTGCAGGAGCAACAAGTGCTCTTAACCACTGGGCTAACTTTCCCCACCCCTTTAAAGATTTATTTAAAAGAAGTGTGTGTGTGTGTGTGTGTGTGTGTGTGTGTGGTTGGAACGAGGTTGGAAGAAGGTCTGCCTGAAACTGGAATTATAGATGGTTGTAATCTACCATGTGTGTCTGGGAACCAGACATGGGTTCCCTGCATGAGCAGCAAAGTGCTCTTAACCAGAGCCCTCCCTCTATCCCAGCCAGCCAGCCAGCCAGCCAGCCAGTCAGTCAGTTGGTTAGTCTGTCTGTCTGTCTCCCCTGCTTTCTTTTCTTTTTAAAAAGTGTGCATTACTTCCTATTCCAGAAGTACAGTTGGAAAGACGATGGATGGAATGAAAATCCAACCCTATAGCTTCCTGTAAGGTAGATTTCATGATTCCCTGAAAGTTGAGAGCTCTTTTAATTTAAGCTAAATCAACTTAAAAAAAAAAACAAAACTATTAGCTTGTGTGTGTGTGTGTGTGTGTGTGTGTGTGTGTGCGCGTGCGCGCGCGCGCGCGCGCGCGCATGCACAAGTTTGCATGTGTACACACTTGCCCATTGAGGTCAGAGCACACCTTTGTAGCGCTGGTTCTCATCTACCTTTATGTAGGATCCAAAGATGTATCTCAGGTTGCCACACTTAGGCAACTTTTACCCTTTGAGCCGTCTTGCTGCCCTAATAGTATGACTTCTAACGGACTTGTTTTTTTCTGTGGTTTGTGTCTGTGTGCACATATATGTGGGTGCGTGCACATACATGTGGGTGCCCTCAGAGGCCAGAAGAGGGTGTCAGCCCCCCTCGGACTGGAGTCCAGGCAGTTGGGAGCCACCCATTGCGGGTGCTGGGAACCGAACTCTGGAGGAGGAGCAGTGCTTTTAGGCACTGAGCCATCTCTCCAGTTCCATCTTTTTGCTGTCTTACCTTTGGCCAGTTTCGAAACGTTGTGCACTGAGAAGGTGTGTTTCTGGGTTGGCAGTGCGGCTCTGCCCTGCGTTAGGAGTCTCTCCTGCCACTGTTTGCAGCCCAGCAGCTGTGCTGATCTCCTCTCTGAACCTGCGCTTGCTGCACTCCCAGTGCCAGCTCCTCATGTCTCTGTGTCCCCTGTCTGCACTGGTGCCCTCTGTAGTGAGGCAGGATGACAAGGCTTTGCTCTGTAGCCGTGGCTGCCTTTGAACTCACAGACATCCATCCACCTGGCTCTGTCTTTTAAGTGCTGCGATTAAAGGCCATAAGGCCTTGCAGTTC